ACAGCTTACTCAGCTGCCCATCAGCTCACTGTGTGGTGGCCTCACCCCCCACCAACTCCATTGAAGTGGCCTCAGATCCAGATTTCTGGACTTGTCCCCTCCACCTTACCCTCCACCCTACCCTCAGCTGGACCCTTGAGCCCCTCAAGAAATCAGCCCCCTCAAGAGAAAAGGGCAATACTTGTGGAATTTCAACGTGAGGTTCTTGTAACTGGTGCTGCTATCCAAGAGATCCAAGTCCTCACTGGGGATGTCGGGGGGTCTGTCAGGAGGGTCCACCTGGATACATTCTGAAGACAGGTAGTCACGGAAAGAACTCAGGGAGCAGGGGAGGCCCAGGCCAGTCTCCCACGGTCCTGTCAGGTTATCTTCACTCTTTCAGCTTCACTCTTATATGCTTTATTGCTTTTTTCCAGCACTAGGGATCAAGCCTAGAATTCGAGTGCTGGGCCAGAGTCCACCAGAGCCACACCTCCAGCCCTTCTCTTCATACCTAACTTTTTGCTGCCTCCACCAAAACCAGGGTATGATCTACCTCATGCTCTATAGCGACCACAGCATGCCTCAGGCCCTCCAAAAGCTTAGTGAGTAGAAGATAATAAAAACAATGCCTGGCTCTTCCTGCCTCTTCTTCTTTCTTCACTAAGCATGCTGCACATGTCAAATAATTCAATCTGATTACAGACAGATAACTGACAAGGTCAGGATTTTAGATCTTTTTTCTGTTTCTCTATTTTCTTTTTCTCCCAACAGCCTCGCCTTTAGCCTCTCACTGGGGGATTCTAGCCAGGCTCTCTATTGCTGGGATCTCTAGCCCAGAGGTCAGGTTTTAATCCTGGAAATCTAAACTCCCCGAAGTTAGGCCTTGCCCTGGCTACTCACCAGTGACTACCCTTGGGTCAATATCAAAGGTATCATTGGCTGGGTCCACATGGCCACGGTGGTAGTACTGCTGGCAGAGAGCCAGAGCAGAGCCATTGGCCCAAGGGCCACCCCCACCACGGACATAGGCATACCGGCCCAGGGATATGTCAGGCAGTATCAGGTACTGTGGGTAGAGGAGAAGAGGGTCTGTCAGGCCCACCTGTTCTGTATAGTACTCCCCCAACCCTCTCACACCTGCTCACTATACCTGATCCACAGCATAGAAGATGGCTTGGTAGAGCTGTTCCCGTGTATAGGCAGCAAAGGTGTCATCCGCCCCATCAGAGTAGCCCAGCAGGAAGAGATGTCGGAAGGCAATAGTGTTCTCTTCCCGGAATGTCACCACCAGCTGGTTGCTGAGCCCAAAGAGAATGAGCTGCCAAGAAGAAGCCAGAGGTTGGCCCTGAGAGTACAATTCAGCAAGGCACAGATAGAGGAAGAAGAAAAAGAGAACCCAAGAGATGTCCCCTGGGGTGAGACAAGACCCTAGTGGCACTGCAGAGGATAGCCTGTAATCTGTTATTTGGTCTAAGTTAACCCTGAGCCCTGATCCTCCTGGCTCTACCTCCGTGTTGGGATGACAGTGTCCACCACACCTGGTTTATGCAGTACTGGGGATGAAACCTAGGGCTTCACGAATGCCAGGCAAGCATTCTACTGGCTAAACCACATTCCCAGTTGCTTTTGGATTACTATTGTGATGAAACACCATGACCAAAAGCAACCTGGGGAGGAAAGGGTTTATTTGACTTACACTTTCACATCTCACTCTATCACTGAAGGAAGCCAGGACAGGAACCTGGAGGCAGGAGCTGATGCAGAGGCCATGGAGGGGTGCTGCTTACTAGCTTGCTTCTCATGGCTTGCTCAGTCTGCTTCTTATAGAACCCAGGACCACCAGCCAAGGGAGGGAACTACCCACAGTGGGCTGGGCTCTCCCTCATTGATCATGAATTAAGAACATGCTCAACAGGCTTATTTACAACCAGATCTTACGATTGCCTTTTCTCACTTGGGGTTCCCTCCTATCCACTGACTCTAGCTTGTGTCGAGTCATATAAAAACCAGCCTACACACCAGCTCCTTCTACTTTTCCTTTTTTGCCTTGAGTAGCATAGTCCTCTGCACTTCTCACTCCTGAAATTCCACGCTACACCCATCAAAACATCCCCAATGCACAGTACGAGGTGAGTACTAGAGAATGGTCAGCATTTGTTTACTGATTGACAGGTAGTGTGCTAAACTCAAGCCCCCAGGACAGGTACCATTGGTCTATTTTGTGATCTACTTTTGCTGAGAGGCGATCAGGACATCATCAGATTGACTGGGTTCAGATGTCATCTACCCAGAGCTCAGCTACAGGGTGACTACACAACTCTTAACCTGTGTGAGCCTCAAGGGCATTTGGGTATACAGTGGAGGGAAGAGTGTGGCCAGTGCTTCTGGGAAGCTACAAGGAATTATTAAGCACAGATCTTAGACTTCTTCCTAATACCCCTGTCATTGAGATGTGGCAGCACGGGGCCATTCTAAGATGAAAACAGTGGCTATGGTGGCACTTGGCAGAAGCGCTGCCTGGCTGGTCTTACCTGCACAGTGACCACCAAGATCTTGACCACCTGTAGCATAAGCTTGCAGGGCTTACGACCTTTGGCCCGGAACTTATCACAGGGGCTCATAAAGAAGTACTTGAGACGGCGGCGGAGGTCTTCCTCTTCTGGGGGAGTTGTTGGGGCTGGCGAAGTTCCCACCTGGGACCCATACCCAGGATTGGGGGTCAGCAGTCGCTCAGTCTCTAAAAGAATGGGAAAAGATAGTAGAAGATCAGGGACGGTCAGTGCCCTCTGCTTCCTTCCCCAGCAAGTCCCACCCATCTACAGGCAAGGACAGATGGAGAAGAAACACTACAGCTTGAAACTGTAGGATGGCTCAGCAAATAAGGTGTCTGTCTTTGAGCCTGACAACCTGCATTTGGTCCTCTGAACCCACAAGGTGGAAGGAGAGAACCCACAAACTCATGCACATGCACACACATACACAATAAGGAAGTGTCATTAAGAGTATTTTAAAAAGAAAGAAAATCCAGGGTTGGGATGTAGCTCAGCTGGGAGAGTGCTTGCCTAGAATGCATGAAGCTCTGAGTCTGATCCCACATAAAAGAGACTGAGCATGGTAGTGCACATCTGAAACCCCAGCTCTCGGGAGCTACAAGCAGGAGGGTCAGGAGATCAAATCTATCTCTGGCTATACAGTAAGTTTGAGGCCAGCTTGACTTACACGAGACCCTGGTAAGAAAGGAAGGGAAAGTGCAGAGGACAGAGGTAGGAAGGGGAGAAGGCACAAACTTATAATTCCAACACTGGCAAGTTGAGGCAGGAGGATTACAAGTTCTAGGCCAGCATGGTTCACACAGTGAGAGAAAGAAAATGGACCCTGGCATGCCACATGCCTACAATTCTAGCACTTGGGAGGTAGAAGCAGGAAGATCAGGAGTTCAAAGCCCTTCTCAGCCTGGGATTCTGTCTCAAGGAGAAAGAAAGGGTGGGGGAGGACAGGTAGACAGTAAAATGGCTCAGAGCGTGAAGATGTTTGCTACCAAGCTTGAGGATCTAAATTTAATCTCCTTGCTGAGCCTCAACCTCATCTTCCAAATGAAGCAACCATTACCCCCCAATAAACTGAGAACTCAATCCTCAGACAGCCTTTATCTCAGAGCCTGGACTGAGGCTAGCCAGAAAAATCCACCAGTCTTCTTGTGGGTTTGGGGGAAGAAGGACCAGCTTGGGCTGGGCTGGGCTGGGCTGGGCTGGGCTTGCTTCTTGGAGGTTTTGGTAAGGCCTACACGCTTATCCCAACTCTAGCCTACAAGTAATTAGCACAGAGCAGAGCCCACATTCCAATGTTCTCAGGACAAATCCTCCAAGAATAACCTTTGAACCCATTAGAAACCAGCCCATCCCAAGCTACGAGTCTGGCCCTAACAATACTAAAGGCTGGTATAATGATTCATGTCTGTAAACCCAGCACTCAGAGGTGGAAGTTCAAAGTTTGCCTGAACTACGTACGAAACACAGGACAGCTTGGGTTAGAGTCTGACTCAGAAGAACCCCAAATGGGCTGGCAAGGTGACTCACTAAGTAGGTAAAGGTGCTTGCTGCCAAGCCTGACGACCTGAGTTCAATCCCTGGGGCCCACATGGTGGAAGGAGATGACCAACTCTTACAGGTTGTTCTCTGCAGCCAACTAACTCACTTCATCACCCTTCAGGGGATCACATGGCCAAAAGTCAAATTCCAGCCCCAGTTCACCTCCCCAACTCTTCCAGGAACCGGAAATTAAAACCATCTACCCATAAGGCTGAGATCCTGAAACTTCTTTGAGAATCCTGCCAGATCTAGCAGGGAAAGGCCCATTCTTCAGTGCATAGCTAAGTGTGCACATAGCTAGGTCATAGCCTGGTGCTCACACCCGCAATGCAAACACTTGAGAGTTGGAGGCAAGAGAGCTGTGAGTTGGAGGCCAGTGTGGAAGAGCCAATTCTGCATACAAGAACAAAATTCCCAGGTGGTAGCAACTGCTGGAGTCCCAGCCAGTCCTGGTACCTGGTAGGCTAGAATTGTCTCTAACAGTCTAGTCACCTCCACAGGAAAACCTTTCAGGTCTCGGTCGGTCTTTCTCCTACTCTCTAAGGAAAAAACAAAACAAAACCAATGAACAACAACAAACAGATGAAGTCTGGTGGTGGTGGCTCATGCTTTTAATCCCAGCACTCAGGAGGCAGAGGCAGATAGATCTCTGTGAGTTTGAGGCCAGTCTGGTCTACGGAGTGTGTTCCAGGACAGCCAGGGCTATACAGAGAAACCCTGTCTCAAAAAACAAAAACAAACAAAGAAAAACAAGAAACACACAGATGTAGTCCAGGTGGCTTCAAACTCATTAGAATTGAAGATGGCCTTAAACTCTGATTCTCCTGCCACCACTTCCCAAATGCTGGAATTAAAGGCATGCCTTTGTTCCTTGGCTTTCACCCTCTACCTGACAAAACTATGTAGATTTCCCCCCCTTTAAGAAAGGGTGTACTGCTCGCTTCGGCAGCACATATACTAAAATTGGAACGATACAGAGAAGATTAGCATGGCCCCTGCGCAAGGATGGCAAACTCCTGAGGTATTCCATATGTATGTATGTATGTATGTATGTATGTATGTATGTATGTATGTCGCTGGCTGACTTGAACTCACAGAGATCTACCTGCCTTTGCCTTTGCCTCTTGGGCCTGAGTGCTGGGATTAAAGGCACACAATCAGGCCTGATGAAAACAAATTATTTTATTTGTGGTGCTGGGGATGGGTTTGCTTGTGTATGCTATACAAGCACTCTATCTGTGAGCCACTCTTTCAGCCCTAAAGCTGCCAGGATGAAGCTGGCCCATGTACAACCTGTGGTTCCTCAGGTCTGAACCTGGCTCCTCCCTGTCTTGTCTAGGTGAGCTTGTTTACAAGCTAGTAGGGAGGAAAGCCAGAGGCAGGCAGTAACTCCCTAGCTAAAAGCACAGCTAACCCATCCCAGGCACTGCTGGTCAGGACTCCCAAAGGAGTGTCTGCAACCAGTACATAGTACATGAGATTTCAGCCCAGATTTTCCCATGACAGGCCTGGAATCATACAACTGGAAGCATACAGTCTCAGTTTAGGAAGGCAAGACTGCATGGGTTTGGGCAGCTGTAATTGAATTAGTTCTATAGATTCATGCAGGCCATCACTTTAGCTCTCTTCCTGCCTGCATTTAGGGAAGCGGAACATTGGAAACTGGCTGTCAGAAGCAAGCTTGCCTTGGGACTCATGTGAAAGTTACTGAGTTCCAGCAAACTGAGATATTGGAACTTTGGCTGCAATTGGGGACACAGCTCAGTGGTAGTGTGCTTGCCTAGTAAGCATGGCCCTAGGTTTAATCCAGAAGGAGGGAGCAGAAGAGGAGGAGGAAGACTTGTTTAGGCCTGTAATCACAGCGCTCAGAGGCTGAGGAAGGAGGATTGCACATTTAAGTCTGGTGTGATGAAGCATACCTGTGACTCCAGCATTCTGGAGGCAGAGGACGGAAGATCTCAGAGTTCCAGGACTGCCAGGGCTACATGAAAAGACTGTCTCAAAACAGGTTCAAGTCTGGCCTACAGAATAAACCACTGATCCCAAACAAAACAAAACCACCACTAACAAAATCCTTGGGTTTCAAATACTGTCCTAATGAGAGAAGCTGGCTGTGGGCCTGCTGCCTGCCTGTGCCTACAAACTCTGAGCAGAGATTAGGTTGGGGAAGGCAACATTGATAAGTCACATAAAACTTGAAAAGAAATGCTCCAGAATAACAAAGCCATCCACGGTGACACACACACTCGTATAATCCCAGCACAATCGAGGTCAAGGTGGAGCTATCAGGCAGGAGTCCTGCTGTCTGAAGCTGGAGAAACATGTCCCCCCACAGTCCAAGTTCTCTGGACTATCTGCCTCTCTCTAATAAGGCAACTAAGTTTCTGCCGGCCTTCAGGATGAACAATAATAATAATAATAATAATAAAATAAAAAATAAAAAATAAAGAAAAGAAAAAACAAAAAAAAACACTAAAAACAAAACTCTCTGCCAGAGGCTTGAAAGGCTGATGCCCACCCACTGGCTCTAGAAACCATCTGCCCTTGTCGCCTCCATAGGGCAGCTAAGAAGTCTGAAGCAGACTTTAGGGGGGAAACTGAGAGCTTAGTGTCAGAGGTTGGGGAAGATGGTGTACACAGTCCCAGGAGCTGTGGAAGCTCATTGCTTGAGGCCAAGCGATGCTAATACCCATCTACTACCTGGGTTTTGGGTACTATGCAACTCTCCGCCTGAGGTTAGAGATGCTGGTACCTATCCGACACCCAGGTTCCCATGGGGACTCTGGGGAACTTCAGAACTGGAAACTGGGAGCTCATCGCCCAGGATCTATGAGCCTTCTGCCATTCTCTCCCCCAGGGGAGCAGCTGAGAAGTCTGCACTGGACTTGAGGAACCGGAGGCTGAGTGCTCACCACCCAAGGTCGGGGATGAGGATGCGCACCCGCTGCCCAGGTTCTAAGAGGCATCTGTCAACCTGTCTCCCATAGGAACGCAGAGAAGTCCTCACTGAACTTCAGAATCTTAAGCTGGATGCTCGCCGCCCAAGGTCAGATATGTCAATACCCACCCAACACCCAGATTCTAGGATCTGTGGAAGCTCTCCGCCTAAGGTCGGAGATGCTGGTGCCCACCCGCCACCCAGGTTCCAGAAGCCAAATGCCCATTTCTCCCGCACTGGGCTTGAGGAGCGGAAGGCTGGGTGCTGGAAGGCTGTGTGCTCGCCGTCCGA